GTGATTAAGAGCATTGGCTGCTCTTGCAGAGGACCCAGGCTTGATTCCCAGCACCCACATGGTGACTAACAACCACTCCAGTTCCAGGGAATCCAAAGCCCTCTTCCATCCCCCACAAGCATTGCATAGCACGGGTGCACTCACATACATGCAGGCAATACACTCAGACACATAAAATAAAAATAATATATAAAATATTTTTTCTAAAAAGTACAATTGTATCCCCCACCGCTACCCCAGCCCACTGTTATCTTCCTTTTGGGGGAATAATTCCCATCAACATAGCAGCTAGGAACCATCCTTAACTCCAGTTCCAGGGGAATCTGAAGCCCTCTTCTGACCTCTGCTGGCATTACACGACACGGGTGCACTCACATACATGCAGGCAATACACTCAGACACATAAAATAAAAATAATATATAAAATATTTTTTCTAAAAAGTACAATTGTATCCCCCACCGCTACCCCAGCCCACTGTTATCTTCCTTTTGGGGGAATAATTCCCATCAGGAATTAAAGCAAATCATATGACACATATGACAGGATCAAGGTCTGGCAGGCTGCAGGAATCCGCTTTTTGTTTCTTGTTGTGGAAATGAGTAAAGCAGAACCGGAAGGTCAGATGTGGCAGCCCACCCCCAGCCACTCCCTAGGTGAGTCTCATGGCTGGGCTAACCTGGGGGAGTCTCATGGCTGGGCTAACCTGGGGGAGTCTCATGGCTAGGCTAACCTGGGGCACCAGCATCTGCGTCTTCACTGAGTTCCTGCATGCCTGGGGTTGCTCTCCTTTCATTTTAGGGTTCCTTTTCCTCCTCACCATCCTGCATTCTTAGAGGCAAAGCCAGAGGACACTCAGGCTATCCTCTGAATGACCCAGCAGCAGGCCGAAGCCTGGGGGATGCACCTAACACACCCAGGGTCACTGTTAATGCAGGCAAGTGTGGATCCACAGGGTCCCATTTCTCCAGAGAAAGTGGCGAATGAGGATCATTAAGCACTGATAGAGGCCACTTCAGGGGACAGAAACAGGTAGCAGGTTCAGTTTAAAGGGACTAATCGGCCACTTTGACTTGCTCATATCCTGTGTTTGGTAGAAAAAAGGTAAAACCTGATTGGCCTGGGTGAACATTAACTGGTAAGCATCCAGCTGATCATCAAATCATTTACTAATCCCAGGTTTCGCCTTCAATATGCTGGGGGTGGGGAGCTACAGTAAACCCTGAGGAGAACCAGCCTTTAGCTCAAGAAGTAGCCCCTGATACTTGGTAAAGGGCAGAGCCTGCCTCTAGGAGAGCATGTGAGCATTATTTGGCAGGGAGACCCACTGTACCCACCTCTACGCCTCAGAAACCTTCAAGAGCTGTTCAGGCCTTACTGGGATAAAGTGCAAACTGGAAGAGGCTGGGCACAAACAGCAAGTACATTTGACAAGTGTCGCTGTAGCCCCTGCAGTGGCTGACACTGGTATAAACGTCAAACCCTCTTGCTGAGGAGCACAGGTGGGCACCCAGTTAACCAGTGAACACTGACGGGGACTTCCTCCTGGCCCATACGGAATGGAAAGAAATATCCCTCGCCCCAAATGCACTTACAAGATTTGCGGTTGGCACGGGATCGCTTCCTCTCCCGTGGCACCACTCGCTGACTGGGCACTTGGGTAGCTGTCTTGACGATGCGATCCATGATCTCATCAGCTGCATCATCTGTAACATTAGGTGACTCATCGGTTCCCATAGTCCATGAACTAGTAGATCCTGAAAAAATTAACCAGAGTACAGTGTGTTCAGAATGAAGACAAACAGAGAAGAAACAAAATGTCATTGTTCCCCAAGCATCTGAGATCTGTCAGCAGCCGAGTCCAACAAAGGCCATGACAGCTTCAAAGTCCGGGGTTGGGTGCTGGCCTGTCCCCACCTGTGTCTGCTACCCCGGAGCCGTGGGAACCTGAGCTGGAGTGGCTGTGCCCTGTTTCTCAGTGTCTCTCTGCCCTGTGTGTGTCATTGTCACCTCTCAGGTGCTGTGATTGCCTGAAGGCAAGCGACCTGTGACATACCCTGCCTAGGACCTCAGCAATATCCAACAAGTCAGGGATGTGCAGAGGGCCCAGGAGTTCCCAAGTCAGCTCTCCATCAGTGCTTGTATGTAGCTGGCCAAAGCCCGCTCACCCTAACTTCTCCCATGTTAAATAGAAATGGGAGGAGGTGGGGGTGGATAATGTCCATGTAACAAGCCACATCCAGGAATGTACAGAGGGCCCAGGAGTTCCCAAGTCAGCTCTCCATCAGTGCTTGTATGTAGCTGGCCAAAGCCCGCTCACCCTAACTTCTCCCATGTTAAATAGAAATGGGAGGAGGTGGGGGTGGATAATGTCCATGTTGTTTTAGGGTTACCTAGCCCTTAAAAAATTGAAATAAGTGGCACGAGCCTTTAATTCCAGCCCTTGGGGGATGGAGGCAGGTGGATCTCTGTGAAATCGAGGCCAACCTGGTTCACATAGTGACTTCTAGCGGGGCTGTCAAAAGCAAACAAAAATATTGAACAAGACTGCCCACTTCAATCAGCAGTCAGAATCTTGACACAAATTTTCTTTGAGATACGGACCTGCTCCTTGACAAAAATAAAGGGTGTTTTATTAATAAATACATGGTAAGACAGTCCAAGCCTCCTCAAAGGGAGCTTCTCCTTATTCACACGAAGAAATCACCACCAAAGATGGGTTCCCAAGTTACGGAAGTTAGAAACCAAACATATTTAAAACCATGCTTCGTGACAGGTCAAGTTCGTCATAAAAACTGGGGTGGTGTAGTTTCTTCAGAAAGAAAGACACACAATGTGCTCAGAGTTTCTCATTTGCTGTTTATGTTCATCTCACAGTGGATGTACAATTTCAGAAGCCTATAGGTCAGAGTTGCCAAATTCCTATGGAACATGGTACCACAGACTGCCTAAGGCTCAGCCACAGTCAAAGAAATGCCAGCTTTCCCATTTCAGAGGGAGGATAAATAATCTGAAAAGGTTTAAAAAAGTAACAATGTTAATAATTATATTTTTAATTTTTTACCTCTTGTCTCATAGTTTTTAAAACTTTTTGGCTTGCAAGCACCTGGTTGTTAATGTAGAGAATTTGACAGAACTAGTTGGAAGCAGTGGAGCACAGTTTAGTGGGCTGATAGTCATGGGTGTGTGTGTGTGTGTGTGTGTGTGTGTGTGTTTGAAATTGTACTGCAAATCAGAAAGCTGCTATGCTATAGCCACCCTTTCTCCAGTAACACTCACGTGACTGAATTAAATATATAAATAATTCAGACTTTGCAAGACAGGTGCTGGGACTCGAGCTGTTCCTCACCTGACGTACGAGACCTGGCATATGAGACCTGTGACTCAGGTCATGATGTCAAGAGGCAAGGGTTTCTGTGGTTGCTGACACAGTTTCTTCTGCTTAGCTTTCTCAGTAGTAGCACATCTCCAGCATTTACATGTGTGTAAGGAGTCAATGAGATGCCTGCTTATTGCTAAGGACCTATTTGCTCCTATCAGAAAGTCATGTTTTCTCCTAACATTGTAAAACCTTTGTTAAAAATAAACAAAAACACACGGTCTTCCCTCAAACTATGTTCTGGATTTGCTACTGAGTTTTCCCATGCTTTTAGAGTGTTCTAGGTGCTGTAACGAGAGGAGGAGGCCTTGTGATGGATGGCACAGCTTTCAGACTGGGACAGCAGTGCCTCAGCGACAACAGCTGTCTGCAGCACAGAGCTATCCATAGTACAGCTGTGCTATGTCCAGCAGGCTCCTGTTCCTTTCACCTGCTGATCTGAAATTCTGTGCCTTATTGTGAACTCCAAACTATGCTTCCAAAACCACACGTAGCTCCATCAATTCCGTTTGCTCAGAGCACTGGGCAGAAATGAAGGTACTGTGACCCTCCCTCTGACAATTACCAGCTTCTCTTGTCAACACATCCCCAGGGGTCTGTTTTTAATGTACTTGTCAGGAGAGGCTTAAAAGGCATCTCTTTATGTATGTATGTATGTATGTGTGTATATATATATATATTTATGTGTATGAGTCCTTTTATGCCTTCATGTATGTAAGTGCACCCATATTGTGAAATATCCACGGAGAACAGAAGAGGACATCGGATCCCCTGGAACTGGAGTTAAGGATGGTTGTTAGCTGCCATGTGGGTGCTCATATTTGAACCCGGGTCTTCTCCATGAGCAGCCAGTGCTCTTAACCGCTGAGCCACCTCTCCAGCCCCTGCTTGGGCTAATGCTATCATCGATGCTGGACAAGTCTTAGCCATCACCTCTTCACACACTGCTTCACGACACTCAGAGATACTCGATCACCTCGCCGTGCCCATATCGTCCATCTTGTTCTGTTTTCACAACTTGCATCATTTTGTATATTTTCAAATAAACTGTCTTTGAATTCACTGTTTTTCTTCTTTTATGGAAACAAATGTGCTATTAAATCTATCTGCTCCACTCCTTCAGGGATTTCATTTGTGGCATTATGAAGTCCATTTGATTGTTTATACAAATCCCACTTGTTTCTGGAAATCATCCAGCCTCATTTAATCCACTTGTGTATGTTTTCATTTATTTTTTAAACAGTATTTGCAATAGTGATCTTGAGTCCTTGTGTATCTCAGCATTCTGCTCCCGCACAGGCCTGACTCTGATGCCACTGCCATCGTCCACTTTCCCTCTTATTATCATGCTTCCATGTTCTTGCCCTGGCTTGGAATTTTTAAAAGAATGTAAAGAGCCAGCAGGATGGCTCAGCAGGTAAGGGTGCTTGCTGCCAAGACTGCTGGTGACCTGAGTTCAAACCCCAGAACCCCCATGGTAGAAGGAGAGGAGGATTCCTGTAAAGGTTGTCCTCTGACCTTGACACGCATGCTGTGGCACACATCATGCCTGCCCCCGCCTCCACTAAATTAATGTTAAAAAAAAAAAAAAGCAGAGCCTGACATTACAGTGATTTTTTTTCCTTCAGAATCTCCTACCTTTCCTCTGGCAGTTTGAATTATGAAGCCCAGTCAGTAAAGCGCCTGATGCATAAGCATGAAGACCTGAGTTTGGATCCCAGGTGCAGCAGCAGGCCTGTAACCCTGGCACTGGGCAGGGCAGTGACAAGCAGAACCCTGAAGCCTGCTGGCCCATAACTACACTCTGTGGTGCGGACCATGTCCACAGAGTGGCCAACTAAGACAAGCCCCACCAACCAGGAGTTACCTCGGCTTGCCCGGCTACGTGTGCGGAGACCGAGCACGGGGGTGACGTCCTCCATAGCGGGGGACGAGGTTTTCAACACAGCCTTCATGTTCTCGTGTTCAGCTGCATCCTCAGCGTAGCTCAGACCCTGTGGCTGGCTTGGTGTTGCTGGAGAACTGCCAGAGAATTTGCCAGACTGCAAAACCAAAGTGAGATTAGGATGTGTAGAGACTTGTCAAAGAGACAGTCGAGCTTAGAAAACTTTGAGTTAAGGAAAACTTTCTGTTCCCTGGTTTTTATTGTTTTGTGCATTCAATACATCCATGAGTCCTCTCCATCACAGAGGTTGCCAAACAATGACGAAGCATTATCTACAGGAAGATCTGTCAGAAAGATAAGCCACTGGCTCCAGAAGGAACTCCACCCAGGCATCCTCCACTGGAGTGGGTGCCTCCTAGGGAAGACTGGCATCCCCCTGGAAAGAGTTCAAAGTCAAACAGAGGCCCTGACACGAGAACTGACCTCTGCCTTGCCAACTGAATGTCCCAAGCTTCATTTTCTAAGCCAAGGCAGGAAGGGTTCTCAAAGATCCAGCCTCATCTTACTTAGGAGTCCGAGTTTCTTGGCAAGCGCCCCTGAGCCTGTGACACGTCTGTGACTTACATGTCTACACAGCTCCTTCATCACTTCCATGGTAGCTGTCACTGCCCCCACTTCTTCCTGGTTTGAGGGCTCTCTATATATTTACTGTATTTTGTGGTGCTGGGGATCAAACCCAGAGCTCTTCACAGGTTAGGTAAGTGCTATACTACTGAGCTCCAGGCCCAGACCTATTCTAGAACATTGTTCTTTTGTGTGTGTGTTGTTTTGTTTGATAAATGTTCCCACTATATCACTCAATCTGGTCTGAAACTCACAATCCTACTGCTCAGCCTCTCAAGTGCTGGGGCTACAGACATGCACTACTGTGCTCAGCACAACCACAGTCATTCTAGAATCTGTTCTCATGCTTGAGTTGCAGAAGGCTCAAGGAGGAGACTGGGCCGGAACTCCTTGTCCAACTTTCCAGGGACGGATCTGGGGAACCTGGCCCTAGTGGCAGGCTACTGTTTAGCCCAGGCTCAGCCAGGCTCAGGAACAGCTTGGAAAATGCAGTTAAGTCTCTCACTCTGTGGCACACACAGCATGACAAGAACTCATCAGACAGTTAGTAAACACATAAAAACCAATCAGAAAACGTCCATGCAGCGTCAAGTAGTAAATGATGCTGACACTTCATGCTGACTGGGTTAGGTTAGTCTAAGGCACACACAAGAAGGGCAAATACAAATGTTCTTCACATTCATAAATTGTCATACCTCAATGTCATCCTCGTCATCAGTCTACCCAATAGGACAGGACAGGACAGGACAGGATGGAAAAGACAGAAAGATTCTTAGAAGGCACAGGAGTCAGCAAAGATGAGATGATCTTAATGACAGGTCACCCAAAATAGAAACCAGCCTGCCACTAGCTGCCAGATACACTGTCTTCAGCTGGGAGGTGCCAGGCCCCTCTCCCCTATTCTTACCTGGATGCCTGCTCTGTGAGCTCCAGGACCACCCTGACTGGTGACAGAAGGTACTTGAAGGCTCCAGGCCAACCTCCTGTGGTTGCCCATGAGGTTAGCAATCAGCTCATCCTCTACTCCCTCCCTGAGGCTAGGTCCTGCTGTGCCCACCACAAGCACCTGCTGGCTGTCAGGGTCTCAGCGAGTGGCCCAATATTCATTTGCCTGGCCCTGCTCATCAGCAGCCTTCTCCAGCCATCTCCTTTCCCCGGTGCTGGGCCCTGGACTACAGTGAATCCTTCCACATACAGGCCAGACCAGACACTAGAACAACTCCCAAACAGAACACACCGTACTTACTACCCTCTCCTCACACACATGAAGTTAATTAAGCTCTTCCTAAAAATCTCACCATCCCCCACAGAGGTCATCAGAAGTGCCACTGTATACTTACAATTATTTTATCAGTAGATATACTTACATGACTCTAAAGATCCCTTTTCTAAATACAAATTGCAGATGAAAACCATGTCAATGTCATTTAAATTCAATAGACTTTCAGTTTAAGTGTTTCCACAGATGTTACAGCTCAGGCAAACAAACCAGACATAACATTTTTGAGAACTGACTGAACTTTTGGAACATAAGATAACCAAGTGATTCCAGGACATCATACTCTACATTGCTCACTCACATAGCAAGAGATGACAGTCCCACTCTGTGCTCTACCAGCCTTCTGCTTGTGTGGCTTGTTTATTTATCCAGGATGCCTGGCATTTTGTCAGCAGTCAGCACATATGTAAAGTGCCACATAGAAAACCTTTAGCCTTCTAAAAGCCCTCATCGCTTTCTGTGGAAGAGGGAGCCAGGGTGGAGAGGTGAAGGTCTCACCCCAGAGTCTCCACTGCCCTCTGCTGTGCAGTCCTGGGACTTGCCAGTATGGATGGATTCTCACAGACCATTAGGATTGTCATGGCAGGACCTTGTCTAGGTCATCACCAGTCTAGAGCCACTTTAGGACAGAAAGATGAAGAGTGAGTTCCTCATTGAGCCTTCCCTGGAAGAATCCTGGCTTGTGGGGAAGGAAGCCTGCTGCATGCTCAGGAGGCAGAGAAATAGAGGAGAAATAGCCCTTCAGAGCTCTGTGAAGCTCTGTGAACCAGCTCAGAAAAGGGAGTCTCACGAGTACCCGTTTCTCACTTGGTTTCCTTGCTATCACCCTTTTCCTAATATATTTTATTTATTATTTTTATTTTATGTGTATGAGTGCACCCGTGTCATGCAATGCCGTGGAGGTCAGAAGAGGGCTTCAGATTCCCCTGGAACTGGAGTTAAGGATGGTTTGCAGCCGCCATGTGGGTGCTGGGAATCAAACCAGGGTCCTCTGCAAGAGCAGTCAGTGCTCTTAACCGCTGTGCCATCTCTCCAGCCCTGCTATCATCCTTTATAATTTGCTATCTATCTATCTATCATCTATCTATCTATCTATCTATCTATCTATCTATCTATCTATCTATCTATCTATTTTTTAAATGTCCTAAAGCATTCTGTAAAATCCATTCTAACCTCAGTGTGCAGGGCTCCACAATTCTGAACCTACTGACTTTGGTTTGGTTGCACTTGTGTGTATACTTTCTCACCAGGCTGACGGGCCTGAGTGTTGTGAGCTTATCTCATGACACGCACCTTCTCAGGCACTGTGCTGGATGCTTTAGTGTCAACTTGACACACCTGGGTAGAGGGAGCCTCAATTGGGGAATTGCCTCCACTGGACTGGCCTGTGGCCATGTCTGTGGGGCATCTTCTTGATGAGTGATGTGGGAGGGCCCAGCCCACTGGACAGGTGGGCCCACCCCTGGACAGGTGGGCCTGTGTTGCATAAGAAAGCAGGCTGAGCAGGGGCCAGGGGAGCAAGCCAGTAAGCAGCGTTCCTCCATGGCCTGTGCTTCAAGCTCCTGCCTCAAGGCTCTTGCCCTGAGTTCCTACCTTGGGCTCCCTGATGAACTGTGACCTGGGAGGTGTAAGACAAATAAACCGTTTCCTCCCCAAGTTGGTATTGGCCAGAGTGTTTTGTCATGGCAATGGAGAAGCAAACTAGGACAGACATGCAGAGGAGCACTGGGTGCACAAGGAGCCCTTCCTAACTCAGAGTTGGGAAACTGGAGGATGCTTGGCCTTAGTAACAATATTCGGATAGTCCAGAAGGTGGCAGTCGTTCCTCAAAATGCCACCTTGACCTCTACAAACATGGATTGGTTGAAGGGGAACTTTGAAGAAATCTGTACTGTCTAGATATTAATAGGAATTCAAATATTTTTGAATAATACTCTAGAAACATCTACCTCTGTGAGGGCCAAATGTTCTTAAAGAAGACAAGCTTAAAAATTAGTAAGATCTGTTAAAAAACATCTCAAGAATTTGGCAAGAAATTTTAATGTGTTTTTCCTAACTATAAACATACTGGGCCTGTGCTGTTTGCCTCACAATATGTCTAATTTCCACAACAATAAATGATTCTTTTTTAAAAGACTTTTAAAAATAAGACTTTGGAATGAAATGTAGGCCATAGTTAGCCCAAGTGGATCGAATTTGCTTTCCAAATACTCCGGAAAGCTAAAGATCCAGGGGAACCAGATTTCAGGAGAAGATAGAAGGCTTTGGCTGATGGCATTGCCATTTGGAACACCTAAGGGCTGTAGAAAGGGTTCCTTCTGGAAAAGAAAGGCCTGGTGCTACCCGGAGTCCAGAAAATTCCAAGGAAGAAAGAGGTTTGGGTGGAGGTAGGGGGAAAGGTACTGGTATGGTCTATGGTTCTTAGAATTGCCTTTTAAGCACATAGCCTTTTGTAGTCAGTGCAGCTGGGTTTCCACTGGAAGCAGAGGCTTAGGAATGCTCACTCGAAGCAGTAACCAGGTCATTCCCTGTCTTGCCTACACCATGAACACTTCGGTGGCCACAGATGGCAGCCACTAGGAGGTCTTGAGTTCTTTCTTCTCCAAAGACATCTGCCTGTTTTGAGTTCTGCTGAGGCTTAAACCTCCAGAGTGATGGCAGTCCCTGTGGCTCAACCCTCTACTCCTTCTGTTTCTTTAGGTCAAGGGAAGCTCAGGGTTGCCAAGTGCTTGCACAGGTAGAGAAGTTCATGGGCACTGATCCAATCAATGAAAAAAAAACCCACACATTGAACAGGTCTTCAACAGGTTCCTAATACAATCTGCCAGTAAAAAGAGGATGACTGGGGGCTGGAGAGATGGCTCAGCAGTTAAGAACACCGGTTGTTCTTGCAGAAGACCTAGGTTCGAATCCCAGCACCTACATGGCAGCTAGCAACTGTCTGTAACTCTAGTCCCAGGGGATCCGACAGCCTCTTCTGACTTCTGTGGGCATTGCACAACATGGGTGCACTTACCTACATGCAGGCAATACATGCATACATATGAAATAAAAATAATAAAATAAAACATTCTTTAAAAAAGATTTACAACATATTTATGTTGAAAGAAATACAAAATTAGAATATGCTGTCCAGGTATTTATACTGTCACTGACCTCAGCCCTCCCTTCACCTGCGATAGTCTTTTCTCTTCCTCCTTGATATTCAGCTGCCTTATTTTAAAAATAAAAATAATAAAAAAAATAAGGTTAAAAAAACAAAAACAAAAACAAAGAGGATAGCTGTATTCTTCCTGAGGTTATTCAAACAAGAATAAATGATGAAGAAAGGAGAATTCCAAGAAAATTTTCCTCTTTTTCTAGAACAAAGCTTAAAGCATACTAATAAGAGTACATGCTACCAATATGATTTTCCTGTTTCACACAGGCCCATCAGGAGGACTGTGCACTGGGTACCTCTGTCAGCATGCAGCACCTCCGTGCATCCCTTCACCTCTACTGTGGAGCATGCACCTGAGTTCTAGGTAGGCTCGGGGCTGTTGTGACTCAGGGACCTCCAAGAACCCATCAGATTGCGTCTTGGAACAATTACATCAGTTCTCTATTCATAGGCTCAAACTGACTGGTCCACGTGGCTGATAGATAGATCACATTGTCATGATGAGGACTGATCTTAGTCTCTAGAGTTGCGACCTGAAGCAACAGAGTTCATGAAACTTACATCAGTGATCATCTTCCCTCTGGTCTTATTTCTCTCTCTGTGGTTGGCTCGTTTCTGTTTCTGCTGCAAAACCCGTTCTCTGGTGGTGCGATATTCCAGTGCAAATTCACTGATGGTCCTGCAGAACTTGTTGATGTTTACTTCCCGGATCGCATACGGTGGATGGCCCATAAAGAGCAAAAAGGAGTGGAATCTGAAAGGCAGGAGCAGTGGGAATGACAGGTCACAGCATCCATGAAGAAATCATTGTGCCCGCTCTGGGGGGAGGGCCCCGTTCCTTCCTGAAGTTCAAGAGCCTTCTCCGGTGGGAACACAAACAGAAGTCAAGTTCAGTTCACATTCTCATCCACGGAAGTTAAGCTTAGGTGGTAAGAGTTCAGATTACTTTTTTGCTTACTTGCTTTTACATTTCTGTAAATGTAATCTGTCAAGTTTCAAGAAAAACGATAAAGTTGTGTCTTCAGGAAAACCTGGCACAATTTCTAGATTATCTAAAAACGGAATAGGAGCACAGGAATTTTGCTTAGAAATCCCTTTAATCCAGTGGAACGGATATGAACATAGGCAGGTAATACATTAATGATATATTAATAGATGGTTTGTAAACAGATGACTATAAAATTTTCCCTAAGTATGTTGAAACATTTGCTTACAATATTATATACAATTTTAATTGAGTTAGGACATGTGAAATAAACTGAATAAAATTAATTTCAGACATTGAGCTTATAATGTAAAAATTATTAAGCTGGGTATGGTGGCTCATGCCTGCTGAGGCAGAGGGATTGTGAATGTGAGGCCCACTTGGGCTAAACACTGAAACACCATCTCAGACAAGCAAATGAAAGCATTAGATTCTATATATTTAACATTTTGTAAAGTGCACAATTTTCAGGAAATGAGAAAGAAGAGAGTGAAAAACAGAGGGAAATCTTCATGTGGAATAAAGAGCAATGCATAAATAACATTATTTCCAAATCAAACCTCTGATTCTGCTCACTCGAACTTGCACATATTGAATATGGGTCTTACTTATTTTTCAGTTCTCTTCTATAAAACATAACAAAGTACACAACTTTTTTTTAAAAAAAAATAAAGGGGTGGAAAAATGTCAGCAAAACTATAAAAACTCTAAGAAGTAAACAATATATAAATTTCCATGACTTTAAAATTTTAAAGATATGATTCTAAAAACATAAGCAACCAATGGAAAAAATAAACTGAACTTGACCAAAATTAAAAACTTTTCTGCTTTGAAGGACATTTTCAAGACTGAACATTTTCAGAGTGAGAAAATATCTACAAATCATATATGTGATAAGGTACCTATTCCCAGAATATATAAAGAAATCTTACAACATAAGGCTGAGAAAAAAGAAATGATAGGTGAAAGATCTGAATAGAATAGACATTTCTGCTAAAGATATACCAATAGCCAAGTACATAAGAAGATGTTCAAATCATCAGTCAACAGGGAGCTGCACGTTAAAACCCACAGAGGAGACGCTGCCTCACACCTACCAAGAAAGCTCTATCAAAAAGATGGTCATGCATTGGTAAGATGGAGGAACTACAATTCCCTTACACCTGTGGTGGGAACATGAAATGGGTCAACTGCTGTGGAAATAAGCTGGCAACCCCTCAGAAAGTTAGATTGCACACATGACTGAGCAGTTTTGATCTTGTGTATACATTCAGAGACAAGAAAATATGTGTACAAACACAACTTTCTAAGCAAATGTTCATGGCATTTTTCATAGCAGCCAGAAAATAGTAATGATACCATGTCCACCTACTGATGAACGGATAACTACATAGACGTGCACACAGAAAAACCACACGATCAGCCCCGCTCTCTGCCAGTCTCCAGCCACCCTGGTCAGGCTCCTCTGCAGTATGCAGAAAACCCTAAAGGGACACAGACTGAAGAGCTGAGATCCTGCAGGGCATATGGCAGGGAGACAATGAAACCACTTCACTGGGGCGGACCATAGGCCAGATGAGGCATCCAACACCAGCTATTTGCCATGTTTAGAACTCTTTACCCACATATGGATACATGGGTAATGACAACGGAAATGTCTTTCATCCAACAGATCTTTGCCAAAACATCACCTCCCCAGTAAGCTTTCCTGGACCATCCTATATAAAGCAGCACTTTATTACTCCTGATCTCAGGCCTATTCCATTACAGAAATGTGGTCTTGTGGCTTTGGCAGGGCAGGATCCCCTCACCAGTACCACAAGACACCAGGCAAACGTCTGTGGTTTCTTCCAAAACCAGCCTTTAAATCAAGTATACCATTCAGTAAAGTGACTGACTCCATCAGAAGGAGAATTTGGGGAATGGGATGCCAGTCTGGGTTGACTACAGGGAGTGGGATGTTTGGCTTCTGCTTTCCCTTCCTCCTACAGCCCCTTGCTGTAACTCACTAGCTTTCCAGGGAGGCTTCCTCCCTGCCTCTCCCCTGTTTTCTCTTCTGTGCCTATTACAGAATAACTGCAGCCTTAGGAATCCATGAGAATGAATAAGGGGTTTACACAGCCACAGAGCAAATCAGACTGTCCTGGCAGCAGGATAAAGAGAAAGGTGAATGTGCAGGTCCCAACTATCCAAACAAGATTTTCTGTGCCAGGAAAACCTTTTGAAAGCAAAGTATTACCCGAGGCAATAATTACTGTGGGGGTTTGAATGAGAATGCCCCCATAGGCTCCAAGTATTTGGATATTTTGTCCCCACTTGGTGATGCTGTTTTGGGAGGTCTTAGAAGGTGTGGCTATCCTGGAGGAAGCATGGCACTAGGGGCAGGCTTAGAGAGTTCTTAAGCCTTGCCAGATCTCCAGTTACTCTCCGCTTCCTGTGCCTGCTTGAAGATGTGAGAGCTTAGCTTCTGCTCCTCCTCCAGTCACCTCTGCTGCCACGCCTCCCCGCCATGATGGACTTTTGCCCCTTTGGAACCATAAGCTAAATAAACTCTTTATAAGTTCTCTTGGTTATATGTTTCTATCCTAGCACCAGAAAAGTAAATATTAATCTAACTATTTACAACTTTCTGGTCTGAACTTTTACTTTTAGGCTGATCTACATGGCTAAGATAACTGCATTTTGATGAGCTATACCACCTGATTTTAATTCTTTCTGCTCTCTATCTCCCAGTGTGTGAGGTGAGCGGCTACCCCGCAGGCCTGGGCTCTACTTCTGGGTAGTGCTGGAAAGGGTAAGGCAGTGAAGCGAAGCAACAGGCTCCCAGTTCTAGTCCAGCTCTTCTTCACTCAGGGATTCCTGCTCCCATCAGCTCTCCAATCAAGGCTTCTACTACAGACTTCATTTGAACCCAGGGTTCTGTGGTTTAGCTGTTTAGGCTGACCTAGTACCCCACCAGTCATGTAACGTTTAGTACCAACCATAGCTGAATTTCTGGTCCATTCTGGATACCCACAATGGGTTGGCCAAGAGTGAAAAACTAGGAAGTTGGATCAGGCAAGAGCAACCAACATCCAAATGGCCAGCTTAGATGGAGCAATTAGAGCCAATACATCTTAAGGAACAGCTTTATCACCTCATTGAGTTTTTAACACTATCTGGGATAAAATGGTTAATAAACCAGGCACTAGCTTTATAAGACTTTTTCATAAACTTGCTCCAGTTTTATGACATTCTAAATGGAAATTATTTACCTAGTTTTTTAAAAGTTGGTAATCACTGGCATCATACAAAGAACAAAGGGTCAAACCAGCTCACATTCTCTTCCACCTCATTTTTAATATTAAAAGCATAGAGTACTTTGCGGAAAAAAATTGATAAAAATCATAAAATTCTCATGATGAGTGGATAGCCATCAACCTAGAAAGAATATTCTTTCCCAAATTTCTGTCCTTTACAGCATTTATATCCTCTCCATTTTTCCAGTTGACATCAAGGCTAAGAAAGAGGGGCTGGGGAGATGACTTCGTTGTTAAAGTGTTTGCTCTGCAAGCATCAAGACCTGGGGTCAGGTCCTCAGCACCCACATAAGAAGCTGTACATGGCAGTGTGTGTCTGCAAAGCTGGTACTGAGGAAACAGGAACAGGAGGACCCCAGAGGCCTGCTGGCCAGCCACATTTAATCCATGACTCTAGGTTCAGTGAAAGACCCTGGGAAGAGCAGCGGAAGAAGACAGCGGATGTTGCCCTCTGGTCTACACACACACACACACACACACACACACACACACACACACAGCCCATACTGTTTATTACTAACATCACACATCTCACACATATACTGTGTCATTCTAGAACAGAGGGGGCAAATCAGTCTCTTCCTCATAGAGTCATCAGCTGACGTGAACGACCCTCCCCTAAACCTCCCATGGGAGCGTCTCAACACGCACGCACACACGCACGCACACACACACACGCACACACACACGCACACACGCACGCGCGCACACACACGCACGCGCGCGCATAGACCCAGGAAGTATGCTCATCAAAGTAGGAAATGATACAAGCAGAGTTGGGCTCATGTGGAGGTAAGAACACCAGAGTTTAGAAAGTCCTGTGTAGGCTTAAGAATGGTGAAAGGAGGAGCTGATTAAAGAAGAGACGAGGGAGGGATGGAGATGGTCCTATGTCCATATTCTCCAATGAAGCAAAGAAGAAAGTAGTGGCTCTCCCTGGCGTGCACAGTTAGACCTTGTCTCTATGCCTGGCAGCCACCACTCACTAAAGGAACAGGCCTGGAAAGGCATGAAGCCATACTAGACCCCAGCCAGCCTTCTTGAAAATAACGCTTGTCTCCAAGGTCCTCCTGGATCCTGTGACTCTGAGAAAGCCTGTGCAGACAAGAGCTCCCGCAGTGGGGGCCAGCCCTCACTCAGGCACCTGTGGTGTGGACCAGCTAGAGAATCCAACACCAGAAGGTCCTCAGAGTGCTCACTGCAGACCAGATAAAGAACTATTCTAACAAGGAGAGGTCTTACAAGAGAGTAGGCTCTTTGTAGGTAAAATGACTGAACCAGCTAGAGAGGCAGCAATTTGCCAGAGATCTTACAATGCAATTCCTGACCACTGGGCTTTTTGCATTAACTTGTTTCTGGAATTCTTTCCAACTAAGATTCAGTGGTATTAATGGTATTATATTGAACAAGAAGGAAGAGTAGCCATGGAGATGGCATGACAGCCATAAAGCTGTAAATCTCTACCATAGGCACACCAGCTATGTTCCAAGAAGTTACAGTAATGTTTTCATAAATTACACCTTCTGATCCTTGGACACAAAATATTTTTAACAGCATATGGGCTTTTCTCTACTTCTTCAATACACTTACCTATTAATTATCCTTCTATGAACAATCTTTAAAATGATAATCCGCTCTGCACAGTCTTTTAGGAACTCTGACATCCGTTGTTTTAAAGCTGGCTTCATTTCATGTTTCGCAATTGCCTTGAGGTGATCCCATGAAGCTTTGCATCTTCTCTCCATCTGACATAAATTATCCTGAAGTTGATCAAAGTCAACCTGAAAATCAGGGGGAGAGAGAACACTGAAAATACGTGAAGCAACTGGACACGAGCCTGAGCCAAGAGCCCAAAGTGCCTCTGGGAGGGAATAAACATCAAAATCAAATTTACATCTTGAAATACAAACCTACTTATGTCCCCAAAATGATTCACATTCGTATTTGTCATTATCTCCACATCAACTTATTTAGTGATAAAATTGTTCTTCAAGTGAACCCAACACACAAGTCACCTTTTCTTGCCTTATTTGGAAAGAAATGTTATGAAAGTCCTTGGGAACTATAAATTAAAACATGAAATAAAGGAACCTAGTGCAAGATGAACTGAGTAGACGTCTCATAAACCTTTTCAGAGAACTCTTGTTCTTCGGGAGCTCACCCGAGCAATGGATGCTCTGTTATGCTCAGCCAGCAAATGGGCTTCCAACTTCTCTTCATCAGAGTCTCCCTTATCACTCTGACACAGCTTTATCCAACCAGTTATTCTTCAAATGACAACTAAATGTCCACTAGGCTTTTGGGAAAGTCCCGATAGCAAGGAGGGCCCAGAGTAGACAGTGGGGTCTGGCCTGGTATCTGGAATCCTGTCAGGGACCGTGACTGCTGTACCTGGTAACCGTCAGACTGCCAGACCTGAGTCAGGTGAAGGAGGCTCCCAGCTACAAGATCACCTTCAAGGAGACCTCTGCTGCCCTGACTCTACCCTTACCCAGTGTGCTCTCCATCCACGCCTGGTACTGGACTCCAACGTGTCCTAACGTTTTCCATTCTCATTGTCCAGCTCACTGTTATTTCTGAGAGTCTTCTTCATTGGCCTGGCTGCTGTGGTCACCCGTCAAGCAGCCATTCTGAAGCCTTCATTCCTCCCAATTCCGTCGTGTCTGGGATTCCCCTGGGTGTTGTTCTAACTCAGTGATCTTCCTACTCTGTAGACGGCTGGGTGTCCACATACTGCAGTGGTCTCTTTCTTAATGAACCATATGCTCATGAAAGTATTAACTCCGCACTCACTTTAAGAGCCTGCAGCTGAGGGCCCAAAGCCATGTTCCATTTATAGCCCTATAAAAAAGTTCCTCGTGTATAAGATCATTTGAACAGCCAATCCCCAGGCTGTGGGTCCAAGCATACTTGGGTTCCTGGCTCTGGGCCTCACTGTGGGTTCTATGGGCATCTCAGGAGGAGCCAGATTGCATCTTTCTGACATGCTTGCCCACCTAAAACAGCCTGAAGATTTGTAACACTGGGGAGAATCCAGGCTGGAGAGAAACATTCTCAGTAGTGGACATGGGAGTGAGGATTGCATGGCAGGCTTGCCTTACATATCTCAGTAGGAAAGAATCTGACCAAGAACCAGAGATAGGAAAAAGATCTTAAAAGTTCATTAGAAATGGCACAAAATGAATCCAATCATGAACTCCAGAGCTTACTAACAGACTGTATGCCTCCGAGACAGCACAGAGGATCTGACCACAAGTCCTGCGAAGGCTGAGGGGCGGACTCCTCCCAGTCCACGGACGTACCTTGGCTGACCTGGTGATGGCCCCAATCTCCGAGTACAGATCCGAGCTGTCTGGGAAGTTTTCCACCACCATAGTGCACACGTGGTGGAGAAGCGACTGCTTATGTACTGTGTCTTTGACTTCTGGAACCTTCTCGAGGTAGCTTAACTCAAACGCTTTGGCCTGTTTGGTGACAATTGAATAAAAGACAGGAGAATCACAAGTATTATGTTGGCTCTTTGAACAGCACAGATGGCTGGACTCAGTGCCCTGTTGCAGTAATCCAGTTCTTAGCCTTGCCAAGACCAGTGGGCCACAGGCTGCTTCCCCCTCTCCTCCTCAGACTGGAGCAGTCATACCCACTCCGCCCTGAGCTATCTCTCAGGGGTCACTCTTCAATCAAGGGGCCATGGGGCTGGGTCTCTAACACCTCTGTATCAACAACTTCTTTTGCCTCTGACCCCTGTACATGTCTACTTTCTGACCAGTGTCAGGCCAACAGCATCCAGCACAAAGTTTGCTTTAAAAAAAGACTAACAGAGCTAGAGCGATAGTTAAGACCAAGCACTGGTTTTCCAAAGAACCCAAGTTTGGTTCCCAGAACCTATATAGGGCAGCTTATAATCTCCTGTAACTCCAGCTCCAGGGGATCTGAAGCCTCTGGCTTCCATGGGTACCTGCACTCATATGCACAAACCACCCCCCAAACAAATAATTAGACTTTTAAAAAACAATATCAGAATGTGTGTAAGCATAAATATTTGAGTGACAGCTCAAGGTTGGCGGGGGGCTGGATGAAAATTCCCCAGCATCAATTTTTTAGAATAGCCACATTTTGTAAGGATATGTATTTATTTTTCCAATATTTCTTACTTACAGGAAAGTTCACATTCAAATGAATGGGCGCTGGCATTTCAAGGACAGAAATCCTTCTAGATTTTTCAGCAAGAAGATATAAATGTTTGCTGCATTGTTCCTTAGGGAACTAAAGGTACAGATCCATCAGTAAATGATGGCAGAGATTTTTGTGACAAGGGAGGCAGGTGAGGGAAGGGAAGACTTACATCAGTTCCATTTAGAAAGTTCCCAATGGCAAGGAGAGTGGACAGGATGAAGCCCAAGGTCTTATTGTTCTCCAACTGCTCTATCCCTTCCTTCAGGTCCAAAAGTGGTTCTGCCACTTCCTTTCAGGTAAAAAGCAAAAACAGAAGATGACAAAGAACAGACATTTTGATTTTCTTCCGTCCTTTCCATTTTTGGATAGTATAAAGTAATACCCAAAAGAGTTCTTCCTAGCACAGGACAAGCTTTGTGTGATAGGCATTTGGTTCTAGGTATGAAACAGTACTGAAAGACAGCAGCAAGAGTCTACTCCTCAGACACTGCAGTGAAGGCCCCGTGGAGCTTGTGCTGCGGTGACAAGTGGTCCTCAGTCTTCCCTGGTCCTTTCCAATCTCAAGCAAGACCCTCAGGTCATTCCCACCCCTGCTCTCCTCCCAGCTATGGCTGACTTCTGAGACAATCTTACTTCCTGCAGACAAATGACTATGCCGACTGTCTCATCATCCCTGGACAACTTCAGGCTCCTCTAGGCACTGCGTACTGGCCACCTCTAAGCCTGCATTATACACACAGGCATGCCTAATCTTTTGACGCTGAGAAATGGTATTGTCATCTACAAAAGTCATACTCAAGAACCACCCAATTGAGTTAAAAGTAAAATAACAACAACACTCACCAAACAACAAAACAAACAAACAACAACAACAACAACAAGCTGGGTATGGTGGTGCACACCTGTAGTCCCAGCACTTGGGAGGCAGAGGCAAGGCAGATTTCTGTGAGTTCCAGGCCAGCTGGGGCTATAGAGAGAACCTGTCTCCAAAAAAAAAAAAGACCAGAAAAAAAAAAACTTTGGTCACAGTACTTGTTACTCCCAGTCTCTCAGACTTCTAGCCTGCCCTGCAGCCTCAATGGCCTCGACCTCCACTGCCCTCTTCCAACCCCACATCCCTACGAGGCCCTTCACTTGCCTGGGTCCCCAGATCAGGAGGCTCAGCTTCATTTTCTGCAGCAGCCTTGCCCTGAGTCCCCCAGCCACAGCTGGCCAAGCTGCCAAGCTGTTCTCCACAACATCATCTCATGTTTTTGCATCTGAGTTACACCAGGCACCTTAGCCCCATTCCTAGCAACCTTCATTCCAGCTTGATTCCATGTGAATTCAGCTACAGTGCAGGTTGGAGACCCCATCTTCAAAATGCTTAGGGCTCAGAAGTGTTTCATGACTAATATAGCTTTAATGTTCTTATATTTTGAAATTCTTTCATATCCAGAGTAAGATATCTTGGGAGATAGGATCCAAGAATAAAGATGAAATTCACTTAGGCTTCACAATACACCTTTTTACCCACAGGCTGAAGGTAATTATATACAATGTTTTCAGGGTACTGTTGATTGTAACCTGTCACATGAGGTCAGGTGTACAATCTTCTCCTGTGGCATCATTTTAGTTCTCAAAAAGTTTTGGATTTTGGTGCATTTAGGTTTCAGATTTTTGTATTAGAGATGCTCAACCTGTAATTTTCCCTTGAGCTTCCCAAACTCAATGTCACCCACCTGTCCTCGGTATAAGACCTTGTTAATGCCTCTGCCAAAAGATGGAGAAGCACAGCCTCTCCATCTGGACTTCAGGCTTGGCCTCTGCTGGCTCCGATTCAGTGTGCAAAGCCATTCTCACTGCCCTGCTGTGCAGCTACTGCTAGTAGCTGCCTCCTGTGAATCTAGACATTTCCTCCCAGGGGAGGCTCTGAAGACTTAGGAAACAAATAGAATCGAAAAGTCTCAGGAAGTTCCTGAAACACAAAGAGTCACAAGACCCCCCCTCCCCAAAGTTAGTAGAGTAACAACCACTGGAGAAGACATCTCCCACAGCTGAGTGTGGGTGCCTGATGGGGATGCAGCTGCGTCTGAGCTGTCCATGTTCTTGTAAGTAGGCCCTGACCCACACTCATGGACATAACCTCACTGGTCCACTAAGCTAGGCTTGGGTGGAATCCTTTCTTTGCTCTGTCACTGGTGCTCTGTCTGGGGTAGATTGATGTTTATTCACAGCTCCCTAGGGAAGTGACACAACAGACCCCAGCGCAAGGAGGATGCCCACATCTTCCACTTCCTACTCAAGGGGAGACTCTAGCATCTTTCCACCAAGGTCTCCCCTCTCTCTCTCTCCTCTCTCCTCTCTCCTCTCTCTCTCTCTCTCTCTCTCTCTCTCTCTCTCTCATTGGAAGACAGCCTCTGGTGTTGGTCATCTTCTACCTAGTTTGAGCCATGGTCTCTGTTGTTCATACCTGTGTAACCCCAAGCTAGCTGGCCCGAGAGTGTCCGAGGATTCTCCTTCCCACCTCCCTCCTCCCCTTTGGAGCACTAAGAACACTGACACTTGCTGCTGTGTCTGGCTTTTTGTGGGTTCTGAGGATTTGAATTCAGGTTCTCATATACAGCAAGTGCTTTACCCAGTGAGCCATCTCCTCAGCCTAGGGGCTCTTTTCTTCAAGTTCCTTCTTAACCATTTTCAATCTGCTTCCTCATCAAGTTTCTACTAAAGATATTTGTTATAGTTTGGATCTAAGATGTCCTAGTGTTCAAACTAGTGAGCCTGAACACTCCTGCTGGTGGTGCTATTTCAGGAGATTGTAGAACCTTTAAGACATAGGGCCTAGCTGGAGATGAAGGCCACTAGAGGCTGGCCGTGAGGGTAAAGCCCAGCTCTAGCTCTCACCTACTTCTGTTTTCTGTCTGCTTCCTCCAGCTGCTGGAGGAAGGTGCTGTCCCACCCACGGGCATGCCTTTCTCTCCATCAAAGACTGTATCTTCTGAACTCCTGAGCCAAAATAAACTCTCCTCCCCTAAGTTGCTTCTGTTAGATATTTGATCACAGCCATGGGAAAAGTATAGCAAAAATAATATTCTCCCAAAGGTGCCCATGGAACTGCTAACTACCATGATCAGCAGTGTAGGTTATCATCAGGTGGAGGGATGAAACAAGTTTTCTATATTGTGTTTTTCTGTATTTTCCAAATTTTCTACAAAGAAAATACAGAGTCTGAAAAAAATGCTTTTCTAAAGATCATTTACATGGTGTCCATAGTCAGGTGTCTGAGGTTGTTGCAAGTTGCTCATCACTAGTATAGACACAATTAGAATCATTCGGTGTTAGCTGTGACACAATCATCGTCAGCTCACCCAAGAATGAGGCTTTAGCACTGGACTTCTCAACACTGGAACAGGATTCTCCTATGAAGTGCTCACCTTTTCTGTGGTTTCATAATCCATCTTGAACGCCCACAGGTGGAGCCGGGCTGAAAGTTCACTGATGGAGGAGAGCGTGAGTAGGAACTGCTCTGCACTGCCCAAGGGCACCTCAGGGTTGGCCAGCTGGGCTTCCTGAATCTTCTGTTTCTCCTCTTCAGTAGGAATCATGGTCAGAATTTTCTAGAAAAAATAGGATGATGTCATCATTCTTTGTTAGCAATGGACTCAGCCCCTTTGATGTTTTAAATTTCCTGTTATAATTTTCTGATCAGTGAGTTGAGATGCTCTAGTTTTTATAATATGCAGGTGTAATATTAATATTACCGATTATACTTTAAGCATCTTGCCCCAAACTTTCTAGGTTTGCACCTGAAGGGCATTCCAGGCAAGAAAGGGCGTGAAAAGAGAAAACAGTGCACAGTGTACTACTGAGAACAGCGTCTTGTTCCTGAGGAAACACAGTGACGCACATTAAGAGCAGGTCGAGATTTGTAGCACCTTTCATGAACTAACTTAACAGTGTCAAAAATGCTAATTTAAGTTGCTGTAAACTCACATGGAATAATACTTTCAGTAGGTTCAACTCAAGTCTCAATGAGAAAAAAAATGATAGTGTTCTTTAAAAAAAAGGCAACACCTGTTCAATATTGAAAATAGTATATTTTTCTACTTCTGTTTATCTCTTGTAACAACCAACTGTGGAAAATAGAGAGGGCAAAAGCTGTCACAATGATTATGATTCTTACAGGTTCAAATGCTTTGGGACTCACATTGTTTTTGAAAGAGAAAAAGTCTGTCTACCTTTATCATTCCTATGTGACACTGTATGGAAATCGCCCCCCACACACGCAACATTAAAAACATACAGACAGGACAAGAAAGGGTAAAATTGTCTGTATTCAAAGAGGTCATGATAGCCTAGATAAAGAATTATAAAAAACATAAAGTTTCTAATACAAAAAAGTGAGTTTAACAATGTTTCATGATGTAGAAAACCAAATGCAGAAAAACCTATTTTTACACATTGTTAATAAGTAAATTTTAAAGTATATTCATGATCAAATATATAAGTGAAAAATTTGATAAATAATATATAGGATATGTTTGCTTGAAATTAGAAAATGCTAACGAAAGCAATCAAAGATCTAATCAATAGAGGGGCATACCGTGTTCATGGATTCTGCAGAGTGTGGGTCCCTGGACAGGACTCCTATATTAAACTTTACTAACCCAGGGCTCAGGAACCATTTGAGGAAGAGGAGGTGGAAAGATTGTAAGAGCCAGAGGAGGAGGTGCATGGCCATATGGAAACTGAGTCTTTCAGACTCCTGGGACCCTGCTCATAGGAACCTACAGCAAAGGTGTCAGCATATACAAGACCCATGCCAACTCATCAGACAAAAACCCAGCATAGAACTGTGGAAATGGACAGCAGGCCCCAATCTTTGCAGAAGAACTATTGGTAGCTGATTACTGCTGGGTGAGGGAGAGTTGGTCTTCTTTAAGGGAGAGACTCTAGATAGGATGACTAGACCTCAGTGGATGAACTTGCACTGAGGGATGTCTAGGTACACTATCTTGACTCAATAGGCCTTAACATATATGAAAAATGCATGAAATCTGGTGGGGGGCAGGCTATGGGAGTGCACAAATGGGGAAGGGGGTCTAAATATGGCTAAGATGTTTTGTATGAAATGCAAAACAATTCAATGTAATATACATTAAAAAGATGATCATTGGCTGGGAGTGGTAGTACACGCCTTTAATACCAACACTCAGGAGGCAGAGGCAGGCAGATCTCTGTGAGCTTGAGGCTAGCCTGGTCTCCATAGCGAATCCAAGCCACCTAGGGCTACAGGGAGACCCTGTCTCAAAAAGACCAAAATAATAATAATAATAATAATCCTCTCTCTCCAGACTGATCCATAGATTTAAAATATATTTATTATTTTTATTTTATGTATATTGCCTGCATGTGTCTAAGTGCACCTGTGTTGTATAGTGCCTGCAGAGATCAGAAGAGGGTGTCAGATCCCCTGGAACTAGAGTCAAAGATGATTGTCAGCTGCCATGTGGGTTCTGAGAACGGAAGCCGGGTCCTCCACAAGAGTAGCCAGCGCTTTTAACCCTGATCTATAGATTTAACTCAGATCCATCGAAAAGACCAGAGAGATTCTGTATAGAGACAAGCTGATTCTGAAGGCTGTACAGAACTGGAACAACCACAATGACCTTGGACAAAGGTGACCGTGGAGGTACCACACCGACTGACTTAACTACAGAGTTAGCAAGATTAGGACCCTGCAGTACTGGTAAAAAGACAGATCAGTGGGCCAGAACAACATAGAACAGCACAGAGACAGAGCACCGGCCCATAAAATGTTATAAAATGTGATATAATGTGTTATAAAATGTGATAAAATGATAAATGAAAGACTGTTCAACAGAGAAAGGACAGAACGTCAAAAAATGGTGTTGAAACAATGGGATTCCATATTTTTTAAAATGAAATGCAGCTTAAGTTCCTTTTATATGTAAAGAAACTCAAAATGAACCATGGGATTTAAAAGGAAAATGAAATACCATAAAGGTTTTAGAAGGAAACTTCAGAGGAAATCTTTGGGACCCATGCTAGACAAAAAATTCTTAGACATGATCCCCCAAAATAGGAACTACAACTTAACTACAGAAAGTAAGTAACATCTAGTTAAAGTTTGTCATTGTTAAGAGACTGAAAACATCAGCTGTAATTTATCAGCACAGAGACTGACCTCTGACCTTTCATTTCATTCCAGGGTATGCACTCTAGAAAAGGAAACTTACGTTCTCACAACACTTTTATAACTTTGGGGGCTGGAAAGATGGCTTAGAGGTTAAGAGCACTGGCTGCTCTTGCAAAGGCACTAACTTTGATTCCCAGCACCCACATGGTGGCTAGCAACTGTCTGTAATTTGTAATTCCAGTTCCAGGGGATCCAACATCCTCTTCTGAACTCTGCGGGCATTGCACGACATGGGTGCACTTACATACATGCAGGCAATATACCCATACAAATAAAACAATAAATATTTTAAAACTATTTTAACTTTTATAATTGCTTTGTTCATAACTGTCAAAATCTGGGTCAAGTTAAATATTTTACGGATAAACAGACAAATTGTGTACATGCCTAGAATGGAATGATCCTCTGTGATAGCAGGAAGAAGCCATAGACCATATAAGATTGATGAATCTATCCTGAGACTGAAATCTCTCTCCAAAGGCTCTACACCATGATTCCATGTAACAGTCTCAAAAAGACAAAGCCACAGGGATAGAAAGTGCATCTGTGCCTTCCAGTGACTCCAGAAGGGCACTAGAAGAGCATCCTGGGAGATGGGGCTGTTTACATCCTGATTACAGTGATCACTGCATGAATTTATACATGTTTTAAAACTCCAGACCTGTATACCAAAAAAGTCAACTTTATATTGTATTGGCACCCAGAGAAAATGTGAGCAACTAGAAAATTAAACGGCTACCAAATGTGTACAAATTCATGCAGTGGTGTATTAGGATGATCTGGGTAGGAGCAGCCCCGGGTGTGATGAGTGGTACAGGCAGGGAGCACCAGTTTTCAGAAGCCAGCTATACAACATACATTCTGAGTTGCAGAGTAAGGCTGCAGGTGAAACCTGATGAAGCCCTTGGATACATTGTCCAACTTGCTCTTAACCCTTGTTTCTCCCTGAGGCTATGTGGACAGAATTTGAGCATCGGCAGATATATTTAGCTAAAAGGCTCTAAGTCTACTGCTCATACAGATGGTATTAAAAGACAAAACAATTCAAGTCAACACTTGTCTTTAAAAACATCTCTGACTTGAACTCAACTAGTTACCAAAATAAAAACCTAATAAAAACTTGTGCTTTAATTTTTGTAAAGTTAAAATTGTTTTAGGTATGGCAAGAATTCCCAAACAAAAACTTGCTAACACCTTTTATGGCCTTTAGGAAGGAAGGATGTTCCTGTAAATTTTGTTCCTTTGTTCTTTGAGAAAACAATCATTCTGCCTTGCTCTTCACTTCTCTAAACCACTCGTTCACTACTGAAGACGTATGGGGTTACCATCTGCCCATCCATTTTCTTCTTTCTTTACGCATCACTGAACTGTAGGACAGTGGGACAGCAGATCAGAGCCGCCTCCTGTGAGCTGGTGATTCTTTCTTTACGCATCACTGACAATAAACAGAACTGTAGGACAGTGGGACAGCAGATCAGAGCCGCCTCCTGTGAGCTGGTGCTCCTTTCTTCCATAAGCAAAGAATAATAATAGATGAATACGAGGCAGGGTTAAAGCTAGCCTTCTGCCACAACATGATTCCACGAATCACTATTTTTTTTTTGTAGGGAAAAAAAAGTCTATCAAGATCAAAAGGTAATAACCTGAACATTTTCCATTTTCTTCCAGACAGTATCCCTTTATTGTTGCAATAAATATACTTGCTTTGGTAGCAGAAAGGCATATTTGAGAAAAATGCAAATACATGCTTTATATTGGACCTAAATATTACATTGAGTTTGGTCATTTCATTTGCCTGCATATGTGACAATAACAAATAATTAATTTGCCTGGTGATCTTGACAGAGCCCTAGCCACAGCTATGGAGAAGAATCTGCTACAAGCATTTTGGAGGCAGTAGGAGAATTGGAGGCTGGGTGGGGCTGGGTTGTAAACAGTGCAGACATTCTGAGAAAATGACATTCTACCTATGCACTTAATCTCACTCAGGGACTTGTAAACAAACCCCTTGAAGACTTTGAAGTCTTAGGACAACTCCCTGAGGCACACTGGGGCAGAGATTACTGCATTCAGGACAGATGAAGTGACTTGCTAGGTGACGTGGGAGCGGCCCCGCAGAGCTAGAGGCTCGGGCTGTCCCTTATTCCCCAGCATGAGCGCCATCCTTCATGGAGATTCAACTGAGGATGCAAACACTGTGCACAGCTGGCTGTGCCCATCTTCAGAGCATTCTAGTTCCCTGAGCCAGCTGTGCTGCCCTGTGGGCAGGCTCATCTGTGTCCAGCACTTACATGGGCAGCGGAGGACAGGCCTTGGGCAACACAAAGACCTTAGATGCTATGGCTTTGTACATATGATTAATGGAAATTTCTGTTTCTAGGATGATGGGCCTGAGAGCCAAACTCTCAGGTTGAGTCAAGTTGAACGTCATATGGGACCACTGGATTGTGGCACCTTCTAAGTAGGCCACATTCTAAAGCCCAGAAAAGTAAATGAGAAAAAAGGAAACATCTTTGCACTCCCATTTGTGATCATTTGGTGGCATTTCACTGAGAGAAATATTTATGCTCCCTAGAGATGATCCTAAAATAATTTTCTAAAACCACTTCCTTAATGGGGCTAATTACTCAGGTTTGTATGACAAATCCAGATACATACCACGGGTTCCTAGGCAACACCACAGGATGTCATTTAATACATCCTAATTGTGTTTAGGTACACAGAGCTTTCCAATGGCCCTCTCAGGCCATGGTGCGCAGCACAGCACGAGCCTCCAGGAAGCAGACAGCCTGGATGAAGGCCCTCTGGGCATTAGCTGGAAATTTTATTAGCATAGATCTCGAAGTTGACAACTGCTGGCTCTTCTCAGTCTCAGTTTAACTCTTGGAGACCAAAACTCCAGAACAGGCTCTAGGTACTCCACAGCACATGGAGGCAGCTCCTCCATGTTCCTTATGTGACTGGGATGAATGGTCAGGGAGAAAGGATGGCAGAGTGTCCTGCATTCCATATTCTCCGAGAGCTATTTCTACAGTCTTCACTGCTGTGCCTGAGAGTCACCGAGAGATATGGCAGTCCCTGGGTACAGAGAAAGCCCGACTAGGGGAGACATACTTGGCTCTGGGTTGGTGAAGGGGAGGGCAGGTGCACCGGCATCTAGTGTACAGAGGGGAGGTGTACTAGTTACTTGCCTTGTTGCTGCCATTGTAACAATGCTGTACAAACAAAGTGGCTTCAAACAATGTAAGCTGATGCTCTCACGGTTCCGGAAGACCACGGTCAAGGCTGCAGCAGGACCATCCTCTCTCTTTGAAGGCTGGAGGGGAGTGGTCTCCTTGCCTCTTCTTCACTCTGATGCTTGCCACAGTCCTTGGCTTGTCAACACATCGCCCTAATACATGGTGTTGCATTTTGTGGACCTCCCTGTGTGTTTTCTGACTTCCAGTGGCATTCTCCTCTGTGTCTACACCCAAATGTCCCTTCCTTCCTAAAAATACCAGTCACATGATGCACGGCCCACTTTAACCCTCATCTTAACTTGATACCTACAGAACTGTCTTTCCAAATAAACAGACTTGAACTTGGCAGGGACACTGATCTTCAATCAAATACCTATCTCAGTGAATGGCTTTTCATGTTACGGCCTCTTCTTCCCAAAGCACAGAGGCACACCTGACCTGCTGGGCTCCAAGTCCTGCAGGTACCATGTGCTCACTGCTCTCTCCTGTACTGGGGCTGTGGGCGAGTCTAGCACTGTGGCCTTTTCTGCCAAAGCGTGCATTCCTTCTCCAGGCACGCTTCACTAGCTCCACCCATAGCCAAGTTTTCCAAGCAGTACTGTGTATGGGTAAACCCCAAATGTAGAAGGTTCTAAAGGACTGTGGAGTTCCTTGCCAATAGAAGGATAGGTCACCTAATGTCACAAAGCAGTGTCCCCAGACTGCCATTCATACTTAGTTGTCCATCAGGCTGTATCACCCCTTGGTAGGAAACCGTAAACTCTCCAGTAGCTCCACTCTTTCTCCATCATTAGAATAAGGGTTTTCACCTACTCCAATCTGACAGCAGTACCCAGAGAAAGGAGCATAACTAGGTCAAAGGACAGGAACTCCTGTGGGTGTACCAGAGCTCCTCTGGGCTGTCTACCACACGGTCGTAGCCATACCACCCAACCTTTTTGCACTTTGGATAGAGCAACATACAGTACAGCCTCAGCTGGCTTTGTTCACCTGATGGTCCAACCAAACATACCTATTAATTATCTTTTTGACACTGCGACTCATAAAGCTCAGGCTGGCCTCAGACTCCCTATGTAGCTAAAGATGACCTTGAACTTCTGATCCTCCTGCCTCCACTTTCCAAGTACTAGACTACAGGCTAGTGACACCACACCCAATTTATATAGTGCTGGGGAACCACACCCAGGGTTTCGTGCCTGCTCAGTGAGCACTCTAGCAATGGAACCACATCCCCTGCCCCACGTTATACTTCCTCATAAGAGTGAAACAGTTTTCAAATGTTCCTAAACATACTTAGTATGGAATGACACAAGAGAAAACCCAAGCATCCTTGGAAGGAAGTTGTGATGGTCTTTTACCATTCTGAGGTAGGTAAAGTATGATCAGAGAGAGGTCCACAAATGAACCCAGAGAACTAAAATCTCTGAACTTCACAGGCAAAGTAAGGCTGGCCTCCCCAGCCTCAGAATATACATGTAAGAATCGTTAGCATCAGAGTCCAGTTAAGAAAATTGCAATCCACCCAAAGTTATATTTGGTACAATTATATGATGTACATTTTACATAGGTGATATATTTTAGAAGGCTAACAACAGTTAATAGAACTTGCTTTACCTCAATTCCTTCTTTGTTTAAGGCATATTCATCAAAGTTCAGAATAGCTATCTTAATTGTTCTTGGAGGGGGCAGTACAGTCAGGCCAATGTTGATGGCGTTGCTCCTCTTCGAATCCAGAACGATGATCTCCTGCCTCTTTCCATCGGCAGCAGTTTTCTTGGTGATAAAACAAGGAAAATCAGAGATTAGTTCATCACCCTAGGTCCATTCTGTATGTCCTTACTGAAAGCAGACACACTCCTTATTTAGAAATGAAAACAAATGGCCCCAATTCAGCTCAGGGAAGAACTGGCCACCGCTCAGAGCAGGATCAAGGCTCAGGCTCTGAGAAGCCGCCAAGCTTGGGTCGGCAGTGTAACTTCAGAAGTCAGACACATTACAAAATAAAACTGATTTTCCTTCAATTGGGAAAAATGTGATATTTTGCAAGAACAAAGCCTGTTTTTTTCCATAGAAGCAAAAACTTTTCAGAGTTGCTTTTCTGAGGACTGTGAGGTGTTAGAATGTGTCTCGGTTGGCCCTGCGTACAGTGTGTACCCAGAGCACTAGATATACAGGCTGGTAATACAGGCTGGTCAGGACACGCAGAGCAGCTGGCTTATCAGCCCTTGGGTTCCCAGCGATGCCGCAGAGCTTCCCTCACTGTGCACATGTCCCAGAACTCAGTTTGTACGTGATACAAGCTAAATGTTTGTACCCCTCCCCGAATTTACATGTCAACACCCTACATCTCAAAGAGACAGCATCTAGTAGCACAGCCCAGGCCTTTGGAGGTGACTGGGCTTAGGTGAGGTCTCAGAGTGGAGTCACCAGGATGGGATTAATGTTCTTATAAGAAGAGAGCTTGCAATCTACCACCCAGCAAGAAGGGGGCCGTCTGAGAGCCTGGAAGAGCCCTCATCAGGTACCAGTCTGGCTAGCATCTTCATCTTCAACCTCACAGCCTCAGAACGTCAAGAAATAAAATCTGTTTAAGCAGCCAAGTGTATAGTATTTTATTATGGGTTCCCTCACAGACACAGAATATGAGGTACTAAGCCAATGCCATCACTTTGAGAGCTGTGACACAAGCTGTATCCTCTTTTCCCCATCACCTATCAGGAAGCTATATATTGGTGGTAAAGTGGGGAAGTGGGAGGAGACCTGCTCAGCAAGAACCTGCCCCTGCTCAGGATCCCCCTGGAGAAAGCACATCTGGGAGGATGACTGCTATGAATCAGGGAAACAGAGTGCAAAGATGAAGGCAGGGTGGTTCTGAAGGAAAACGCAGCCTGGTGATGGGGCGTGCTCACTGTGCATGGCAGCTGGTACATGAACAGGCCAGGTCCGCAAGAACAGAACCACACTGTGCCCTCAAAAGTCCCTGGGATCCTGCATGGGGCCAGAGAAGAGGGTCAGGAGAAAGCCACAGCTCTTCTCAGAATGAACCACCAGGGATGAGGCTGGATGAGGACCGTTCTGGAGGATGTGTGGTGGAGGAGCTCTGACTAAGCCCAGCAGACAGGTACCTGTTGAGCTGCTCCTTTGAACCACAGAAGCTGATTGAGCTGAGGAGAAGCTGAGCCATCTGGAGAAACTGGCCAGGGCCATCACCAGTGCCCTGAGCTACCAAGGAGAAACAGACTACAGTCCTCCAGATCCTCCTGGGCCCTCTCAACTTAATTGTTACACTTCTATTTTAGGTCCTTCAATATGTGCTTAGGAATACACTAAAAATTCTTCATGAAGAAAACATCTGAGAGCATCCCAGCTGAGCATGTCTGGGGGGTACTGGTGGCAGGCGTGGCAATCCCTGTGGGTGTGGTCACCAGTTTTGAATGGTGGCCCCCTGCACTGCATAGCACACACAGACCCCAGCTCTGCAGGGCAGACTTTGTGTTCTCTATATATAATCAAATTTTCCAGGAGGCCCTGGAAATTCTCAGTTTAGCTTTGCAATCTAATTTCAAATAGCATGATACATGGTTAATATTAAGGAGAGAGGTTTGACAAAATGTTCCACAAACAATGAAGAGAGAATTCATAACCTGAGATGCTGATATTGGGGTGCTCAGGTTTGGCTCCTATGGGCTCCAAGGGTACTGCTCACAATTCACGCCCCAGTCCTTGATCACCACTAGGACCCTGGGTTTTTTCCTTAGGCTACCAATGTGTCAGCAGCCAAGAAAATTGCCTCCCCAGACCCTCTAGACCCAATGCTGCCGTTGTGACTCCGTTCTGGCCTTTGTTTTCTGGACCAAAAAGGAATAAACCCTGTAAGCCTCTGCTGGTCCCCTCCTTCCTGCCTAGAATATTTCATGGAGACTGGAGGTGCTGCTGCAAACAGACTGCAAGTATAAGGAAAGGCAGCAAGCATTCTCCTGGAAACTCTAGTCCTTAGCCCTTCTTCCATACTGTCCTTGTCTGTCTAGGAGCCTAGAGAGAGGCCTGCACAGACCCAGCTACCACAAAGAACAAGATGGGCCTCTGGGAGGAAGCAGCCCAAGTGCGAACAGCTGCCCACAGTTGGCTTTCAGGAGAGGCGCCCTCTGATGCTGACATCATTCTTCCCAAGTAGCCACAGCAAATGTAAGGAACAACCCGCACAGCCTGCATGGAGGCCCTGTACCTGGGAGGACCTTCGTCTCGTCTTGCAGCCGAGTTCAATGTACACAGTCCTCATTCAACAGTGAGGTGGGCCACTGAGCAAGCTGAGGCAGCGAGAGGTTTTTTCCCAAGAATTTCATACATGAGTACTGTATGTGTATCATCCCCCTCCAATTCCCCTCCAACTCCTCATGTCCCCCTAACCCTCATAATTTGTCCTTTTCTTTACACACACACACACACATGTATGTGTGTGCATGATATGTGTATGAATGTCCATAAATAAATATGTATAAATGCATTTCTAGCCATGCTGCAAAGGAAAGAGCTAAAGGAACCTCTGGGATGGAATCAGTCAACCTCAGGATTCAGCAAAGAGATGTTTTAAGTGCCATTCCTTATTATTTTTATTTTATGTGTATGAGTGTATCACCTGCATGTACGTAAGTACAGCTGTGTCATGCAATGCCCATGGAGGTCAGAAGAGGGTGTCATATCCCCTGGAACTGGAGTTACAGACAGTTGTTAGCCTCCATGTGGGTTCTGGGAACCAAACTTGGGTCCTCTGCAAGAGCAGCCAGTGCTCTTAACTGCCAAGCCATCTCTCCTGCTCCAGCTCCAGAGGTTTATTATAACAGTGATAGAATATGTAGTTCAGGTCCCAAGATCGATGGGATGATGGCTCAGAGTAAAATGCTGATCTAGGCCATTCCAACTCACCAAAATCAGTGAACCAACATCTAGCTTGAAAAGACTGCTAACATGTAACCAGGTCAAACTGGTTGTGACCAAGCCAAACAAATCAACACAGGCAGGGACCATCAAGACCGTATGTGGATCCACTGATGTCTTCTTTTGAGGACAAGGACAAAGAGAAAGCAGGGACAGAGGCACGGGTGGGAAAGGCCAAGGCTGACCCGGGTGATGAGGGGAACACCACACCCCAGGAGACCTCCTTTCTGACTGTAGTATGGTATGTCTCTGCTGACAGCCATCTCAAGACATCAGCGGTCCATGACATCAAAGCCTGAGCACAGGCAGAAGCTGAGATGTGAACCTCAGTTCTCCAACAGTCTCCACCATGCTGTACATTGTGTTTTGGTCTCATTTGCTTTCAGAGGCAGGATCTTGCTATATAGTCTCAGCTTGCCTTAATCTCACTTTGTAGCCCAGACTGGGTTCAAGATTGTAATCTTTCTCCCTAAGCCTCCAGAGTGCTGAGATTATACACAGGCACTGAGTACTAACATGAACGAACGAGCGAACTACATATCTTTCTGTATATATTTCTTGCCTCTCTGTCATCCTACTGAGTGACTTTTAGATACTTCATCCTCAAGTAAGAATATTTTTAGAGAGACTAACCAAAAGATCACAGTGTGGAGGGCCAGGAGGTCCAAACACCACTGGTCAGCTCTAGGCAACGAGAAGTAGGGTTTCTGTCTCAGTTCTTCGGTAAAACGTTAAAGGCAGCCAACCTCTGCCCTCTTCCTCAACAAACCCCAGGAGTGGTGAGGGTGGAAGGAATGCTGCACTGATGTCCCTGTGGCCCAGGCTCCAGGCATGCAGCGCTCAACTAGGGGGTGGCTAGACATGAAAACAGGACCAACTGTCTCTAGGGCAGATCTGCAAAAGGGTAGAAGTGAGGCACTGGGGGAAACAGTTGCAGGGCTGTGTTGGAACAGGCCATTTTCCCAACTATGTCCAGAAGTATTCAAGGGAAAAGGGGAACTTGCTTCTTTCAGGAGTGAGGGAGCGACCCTGAAAAGGCTCTAGGCTCTTCTGAAGTTCCACAGTCTATGATGATGAGCTCTTGGATCAGAGCTCCTTCTGTGATCCTGTAACAAGCCCCCAGAGGGAAGATGGTTTCTGGAGACATGCAATGGGTTTACGTTTACATACCATGTAGGGTTTTGTTTGTGTTTTGCAATTGGCCAAGAACAAACAGGGAGAAGGTGAGGGGTATGAATAGCCATGGTAGATGAGAATGAGTCAGAAGTTATCCTCTTGTGGTAGGGGAACAGAGAACCACGGGGGGGGGGGGGGG